TTTTTTCTTCCATTTCTTTAAGGGAGTTTTTCATTTCCTCTTTAAGGGAAGTTTTTATTTCCTCTTTAAGGGAATGTTTTATTTCTTCTTTAAGGGCCTCTATCATCTTCTTAAAGTCATTTTTAGGGTTGATTTCTTTTGTTTCTTCTGTCCTGCTATGTTCAGGTCTTGCAGGTGTAGAATCACTACATTCTGATGTTCCCATATAGGTCTTTATGTTGTTGCCTGTATTTTTGCACTAGCATCTACTCATCTCTTCTTCTGCTCAGTGCAGGTGGTGTCTGTGTCTGAGAGTGCCTCTCTTGTTCTAATTTTTAGTCTTGGTTCAGTAGGAGTTCTTGGTTAAATTGGTGCTATTGGGCTGTTTCTTCAGGGGCAGCTGATCTCAGTCAGTGAAGTATATACTTATGATTCTAGTGATATGGTTTGGTGTCTGGGCAGCACCTTCTTCTGTGTTCTCAGGTCATGTTTTGTTCATTCATCAACTCCTCATTTGATCTTGTTTCTTCAGACTTCAAGCTGTAGGCATCTGAATCCTCTCCCAGATGGATTTCAGCTGAGCGGTGTAGTCTCACCAACACCTCCAAGTTGTTGGGTTTTGCACAATCAGCACCTGGGCCCTGGGTTGTCCTCAGATGGAGTGTTCAGATTCATTCTGGTTCCGTCCCACGGAGATAGCTTCTTCCCCGGGTGTTGGGGTTAGAGGCGTCCCTGCCTCTGCTTGTCGCTGCTGCCGGGCTCCTCTACCTCTGCAGGATGCCGCTGGGCCTGCCCATATGTCCCTGTTGGCCACTGCTGCCGGACCCTTCTACCTCTGCGGGCTGCCGCTGGGCCTGTATGTCTCTCCTCGCTGCCACTAGGCCTGTATGTCCCTGTTGGCCACAGCTGCCAGGCCCAAAAATGAATTTTATATAATAAAATAAAATGTTTTGAGAGCCTGAAAATCAAAGATGAAAACAAGACTAAGAAAATCGTAATACTAAAAGCTAAGCTCAGAAGATCTGAGTGAGTTGTGCAAGGTTTCTGGAAAATGACCTAAGGATGGTCTGTGTTTATGATAAAGTTCCTAAGTTTATATTTGTCCACTTGTGGTAATATTGACAGAATCTTTTGTTTTGTTTTGTTTTTTGAGACAAGGTTTCTGTGTGCAACAGCTCTGGCTATGCTGGATCTCACTCTCTAGACCAGGCTGGCCTCAAACTCACAGAGATCTGCCTGCCTCTGTGAGTCTGGGATTAAAGGTTTGCACCACCACAGCCCAATGACAAAGAGTCTTAAAAGACAATAAGTCTAATGAATACAATATCTTGCATTTTGGTCAATCTTTCTTTATGTTTTTTGAGACAAGGTTACCCTACATAGCCCTGGCTGTCCTAGAATTCACTATATATACCAAGATGGCCTAAAATTCAAAGAGATCCACCTGCCTCTGCTTCTTGAGTGCTGGAATTAATGTGTGTGCCACAACACCTGGCCATATTTTTTTATTATCTATATCAGACTTTAACCACTTAGGGAAATTGAGTCATAACAAAATAAGAATGTAGTGGTTTGAATGAAAATGGCCCTCAAGGTGTGGCCTTGTTGGAGGAAGTAGGTCACTGTGGGTGGGCTTTGGAGTTTTAGAAGCTTCTCTCTTCCTGCTGTCTGCCCATCCAGATGTAGAACTCTAGGCTCCTTCTCTAGCACTGTTGTTGACTGATGTTGCCATGTTTCCTGCCCTGATGATAATGGACTGAACCTTTGACTGTTAGACAGCCCCAATGAAATGTTTTCCTTATAAGAGTTATTGTGGTCATGATGTCTCTTCACAGCAATACAAACCTAAATTAAGACAAAGAGTTTCTTTAAATATTTTTAAAGTTTTTATTAATTTGTGTGAGTGGTTTGCTTGCCCATACATATGTGCACTCTATGTGTGCCTGGTGTCTCCAGAAGCCAGAAGAAGGTATCAGAAGCCCCAGAACTGGAGTTACAAATGATTGTGAACCACTATGTTGGTGCTGGAAGCCAAACCAAGTCTCAACTTGTTTCTCCTTTGGGTTGAGTCTGGTGACCAAGACCTTTCAAGACTCAAGGTTTGTGTGTGGCTCCATCTTGAAGTATTTTTTGAGTTTCCAATACTATTCCCAACCTACTCCTAGTCAAATGACCCAGGATCCAGAAACCCAGAGATGCCTCCATCTTGCCTCTGGATCACTTCAGATGTTGGAAGATATTTGAAGATTTAATTTTTTTTAACATTTTAATATGTGTAGGTGTGTGTCTGCATGTGGATATGTGCATCCTTGAGCTGGAGTTACAGACAGTACTGAGCCACTTGACCTGGGTGCTGGGAGCTTAACTTGGGTCTTCTAGAGGAAGAACTGTAAGTGCTCTGAACTACGTATCCATCTCTCTAGAACTTGGGAGGCAGAGCAGGTAGATCTCTGTGACCTCATGGATGCTGGGGACCAAACCAGGTCCTCTGCTAGAGCAGCCACTGCTCTTATCCACTGAGCCAACACTTCAGTCCCTCTGTTTTCTCTCTCTCCTTCTCTCTCTCTCTCTCTCTCTCTCTCTCTCTCTCTCTCTCTCTATTCCTCCCCTCTTTTCTTCCTTCCTTTCTATTTTTCTTTCTTTATTTTAAAAAAAATAAAATTTTGAAGCTGGCAGACATATACCCAGGCAATAAACACATGCATGTAAAAAATAAAAATTAGTAAATATTTTTTAATTGCTAAACATAAACGTGTTTAAAAATTTTTGGAGGCAAAGTTCCTTAGCCAGGTTGTGAACTCTGATTCCTTCCTCAGTGTTCCAAGTAGCTTGGATTACAGGCCTGTCACACCTAGACCAGCTTATTTCATTTTAGATGCTGATCAAAGTTCTAGTAGCCTGGAATTGTTGGACAAGTGTCAGGGAATACATTTAACTGAATGGAAAAAAAATTCCTTTTATTTGGATCACCCCCTTATGAAAACTTCCTTTGATATTAATGTCATATTATACACCTCGCAAAGACTGCCACATCTGTCACAGTTGCATGGGCATCTTCAAATTTACACTCATTGACTTAAGATCCCACTAACTTACCCTGGGAGGTATTATATCTAAATTGGGGTATCTAAGAGACTCATTTTTTTAAAATTCTGCAAAGTGTGTACCTGCCACTTTGCAGAGAGAGAGAGAGAGGAAGCCATGCGAATTGGCTGGAGACCTCCCCTGATCATGGTAGTAGTCTACCTAGCTGCTGACTAGCTCTGGTGTTGGTGAATTCCTCAGCTTGGCTTGATAAAAGTTACTTTCTTTGCTAAGCAGGCTTACAATTCTTCCTTGTAGACCAACTAGGGCTATGTGAGACCCCGTCTCATTCATTCATTCATTCATTCATTCATTCATGAATACTAAAGAAGTAAATGCAAGCTGAGTATATGGCTCAGTCCTATAGTACTTGCCTAGCATCCATGAGGCCCTAGATTTAATCCCCAACTGCTTATGGGATGCATTTCAGGCAGCCTATCTTCGTGAGGGAGGATAGTGCCCAGGACAGGACAAGGTAAGGGAAGAGGTGGCTGGAGATTGGGAGGTCTGGAGAGGAACAGGAGACAATGGCATCTGCTCAAATACAGTTACAGGGGACCACTGCAAAGCCAGGCCCCACCAGCTTGGTCAACACACATTGAGCTCTTCCTGCAGGCCCTGAGGTGCTTTGAGACAGGCAGTGGCTGGATGCTGGCCTCATTCTGGGGCCCTCAGGCCTGCTGAGTTGACCTAGGGTCTTTCTGTGTGAACCCTGACTCAGTGCAAGGGTGCATGTCCAAAAAGTGGGGAGGTACAGGAGGATCTGGGGGACCTCAAACCATCCCATCTGGTGACAAGTACCACTCAGGCTCATATGGATGCACGAAGTTTATTGGACACAGAGATACAGGGTCTTTGGGGCTTTGCCTCCTCCAACAGTCACCTAGTGCACTGGTCCCTCCAGGTGGGTGAGCTAGGCTGAGAGGAGGTCATACGATGTGGGGATGCAGGACTGAGATCCGAGCTCACTACTACTCTTTCTTATCTTTCTTCTGCTCATCATGGTCATCATCTTCATTTTTTCTTTCTCTTTGTTTTTTCTTTGTGTTCATCTTTGTCTTCATCTTTATCTTTATCTTTGCTATCTTCCTTCTCTTTGTCAGTGTCAGGAATGGTCATTGGTTCTCTTGGAGGCTTCGCTGTGTTATAGGTCCATTTGAAGCCTATCCCTTGGAGGCAGGTGTGTGAGTATACGCCACTGACAGTCTGTAGATGCTGGTCTGGACCTCCACTCTCTTCAAATGGACGTCCCTTATTTTTACCAAGGGAAAACTCAATCCCCTTGTTGGTAATGAAGGTCAAGGAGTTCAGACAGTGTCCCACAGTGCCAAGAACCTTTATTACATGCTCACCATCATTCAGCAGAAACTCTTCATAATATTTTGAACGTATTCCATGGACATCACTCCAGTGATTTTGAAACTGCAGCTGGATGCTGGAGAGAAATCAAGTCAATGCAACCTCAGGAATGCCTGTTCTTTCTCAAAACTGTGCCCTATCCTGGATCCTGGTTTACAGTTCGGTCTCCAGAAGTGCCCAGCTCTGATATGGCAGCCTGAGTCCTTCCTCCTTCTGCCTCTTCCACACACATCCCTTCTCACTGGTCCTCATAGGTTCTGGCTCAGATCATGCATCTGTGCCTGGGTGGCTAGGTCTACCACTGCAGCCAATTCTGAGCCTGAATCCTTTGCAGGGTCTGCCCAACTCACATTTCCCATCCAGAGCCTCCTCCTCTGTCTGACTCAAATGAGGCAGCAGCCACAATGAGTCCCCTCTGCTCAGGTCAGCAGACCTTACAGGCAGAGACCAGGGAGACAGGGTCATCTCTCCTAGTGTTGTCAGGAGGAACAGGAGAGCCCTGGGAGATGTTCTACCAAGCAAAGAAGTCTTCTACACTATTGCTAATGCCAACTTCCTTCTCTTGCAAGAAGATGCATACCAAATCATACCACAGGTAAAACGCAGAAAGGATATCAACTTTAACTAGAATTTTAGATAATCATGAGTAATTTCCAGTATAAGCCCCTTTTGTGTTGAATGGTTGATTTGCTTCTTTTTGACATTAATTTATTACTTATTGTGTGTGTGCCTGCATGTGTCTTTGTGTGTGTGTGTGTGTGTGTGTGTGTGTGTGTGTGTGTGTGTGTGTGTGTATCCATGCATCTCACATGTGCCAAGTTCGTTGGAGGTAAGAGGACAACCATTGGGATTTGGTTTCTCCTTCCACTGTGTTGGTTGCAAGGGTCAACTCAGGTTAGTTTGGTCAACAAGAGACATCTTGCCAGTCTTCTTTTCTTTTCTTTTCTTTTTTTTTTTTTTGTTTTTTCGAGACAGGGTTTCTCTGTGTAGCTTTGCGCCTTTCCTGGAGCTCACTTGGTAGCCCAGGCTGGCCTCGAACTCACAGAGATCCGCCTGGCTCTGCCTCCCGAGTGCTGGGATTAAAGGCGTGCGCCACCAACGCCCAGCATCAGTCTTATTTTCTTTTACATTTTTTTTTGTTTTTTGTTTTATTTTGTGTTTGTTGTTTGTTTTTTTTTTTGGTTTTTTTAAGACAGGGTTTCTCTGTGTAGTTTTGGTGCCTGTCGTGGATCTCCATCCCTATCCCAGGCTGGCAGACTCAAACCCACAAAGGTTCACTTGTCTCTTCCTCCCAAGTGCCGGGATTAAAGGCACGTGCCAACACCGTCCAGCCAGGCTTTACTTCTTTAGTGGTACTGGAGACCAAACGTAGGTCACACCTGTACTAGGCAAGCCACTAAGCTATAGTACCATTTCCCCACGCATTCTTTCTTTCTTTTTACTTTATTTGAGACAGGATCTCACTCTGTGGCCAGGATTTCCATGAACTTTTTCATGGTGGAAATCCTCTTGCCTCAGCCTCCTGAGATGTGACATTATTGACATGAGTCACCATGCTGGCCTCCAACCCTCCCTTTGCTTTCTTTTCTGTGACAGGGTTTAAAAGTTGTCCAGGTTGACCCTAAGGTGCCCTGTAGCACAATTTGGCCTCACATTTGATATTCTCTAGCATCAGGATCCTGGGAAGCTGAGATTACAGGATTGCACCACCAGGCCATCCTCCAATATTGCATTAAAAGCATGACCATAGACTCTCCAGCAGTTGTGAGGATGAGGAAGAAGGACTCTAGGCTTAACAAAAGCCTGGGATCCATAGGGACACACCGTCTCAAAAAATTGATGTCTATAGACAAAACACAGTGGTATGTCTTGATTTCAACCAATTGCACAAAAGTCTTGGGGAAGTATAACCATGTTGTCAGTTCTGAATTGTGTTGTGTGGGGTGGTGGTGGTGGTGGTGGTGGTGTGTGTGTCTGTCTGTTTGTCTTTCTGTCTGTCTGTGATGCTAGAGCACGGCACTTGCTCTCTTTCTCTCTGGCTATCTGCCTTATTACTTCGAGACAAACTCTCTCACTGAACACAAGTTCAGTGTTACAGCTAGACTGGCTGCCCAAGAGCTCCTGAGATGTTCCTGTTGCTGCCCCAGTGCTTAACTCACAGTCCCCTCCACCTTGCCAGTCTACTCCTTCCTTTTACACTGGTCCTGGGAATCCAACTCAGGTCTTCGTGTTTGCACAGCAAATGTTCTTTCTTACTTTCTCTGCCATTTTTCCAGGTATGAAAGCTTATTATTCCTAGGCAGAGTCTCCAAGTGACCCTGACATGGTCACTTAGCTTTTTGGGTAAGACTCTGGCCAGCCAAGTCAGCAGGATCTCCCTGTCTCTGCTCCCACAGCTTGAGGTTTACAGACTTGTGCTGCAGTTCTCAGCTTTCACACAGGTCCTGGGGACCCAAACTTCAGGCCTCGTACTTGAAGAGCAAACAGTTTTTCTGCTCAGCCTTCTCTCTGTCTAACAACTTTGAATGTTTAAATGATGGAGACGACCTCAATATTACACAGGAGACACAGTAAAAGAACATCCATTGATCATCTGTGCTGTGGGATGTCTTTCCATATGCTGTGAATATGTGTTGCTACCATTGGTTAATAAAGAGACTGCTTTGGCCTGTGGTAAGACAGGTTATAGCCAAGCAGGAAATCCAAGCTGAGATACAGGGAGAAGAAAGTGAGGGGAGATGCTCCAAGCCGCCAAGGGAGCAAGAAGTACCAGAATGCAGTAAAGACACGAGATTCACTGCGATACTTAGATGAACAGAAATAGATTGATTTAAGATTTAATAGCTATCTAGCAATAAACCTTAGCCATAGACCAAACAGTTTGTAATTAATATTAAACCTCTGAATGATGATTATAAATACAGCTCCTGTAGGACCGGGCAGAACTGAGAAACTTCCATCCACACATCTGAAATTCTATTAACCTTGGGGACTGTGCTTGCATTTAACAAGCTTGGCATCAGTAGCACAAGGCATTTGAGGCACTCTAGGAGCACAGCAGACCTCATGAGGAAGAAGCTGGTGAGGACAGTCAAGCTCTGGCCTGTCCCTAGGGAATGGCTGGCCTTTTTATAGCAGAGCAAAGGTCCAGAATAAGAGAGTGAACCTCACATCATTTCATGTCCCGTGAAGGCAGGGACGTTTCTCAGACCATGTAAGCAGTTCCTGTGACTGCCAAGGAGCACTAGGACCACCAGAACTATATGGAGGAGGGACCCTTCAGCCTCTATGATCCTTTCTGAATCACAAAGTCGGACGTACCTCTCCACCTGCCTCCCTGAGGATTGTCTAGTCCTACCCGAACCTGGGCATTCCAGCTCTGAGTGGGCTAGCTCAGGTGAGGGTTCTAGACAAGCCACAGGAGCAGGCTGTGGAGTACAGCTGGGGAGTACTACAGGAAGCCAAAGAGGCAGAACCCTACTCACCCATTGAGGCGTCTTGCTGCTGTATAGAAGATCCGAATGGACTTGATTTCCCCCTTCCCTTCATCAACAATGTAGAAATAGGTGCCGATATTATTGTCCAGTACATCTGGGGAAAGTGAGACAAAAAAAAAAATAAGGGCCATTCTCTCACTCGAGCCCCTTATGCATAGGACAGGACATAGGAGGTGAAGGCCACAAAGGAGGCTCAGGTACTCACTCTGGGCTCTGCAGGTGGCACCAGCAAGGAGAGCCAAGGTCAGCAACAGCAGCATGGCTCCTGAGGGTTTGGTGCACAAGTCTGGTGCTTAGAACCACAGGGAGATGACAAGACTTCAAAAAGGCTCTGAGGAAAAGACGCCAGATTTGGGATTACAATACCCCAGACTGAGACAAGGGAACATTTGGGAACCCTCTTTTTCCACAGTCTCTGAAGGCTTCAGAAGGGCCCTGGGATGGTTTCACCCACATGCCCACACTGCAACCCCCCCACCCCCAATGTCACAGTGCTTCCATTCCAACTCAGCTCTTAGCAAGAGATCCCATGATGTCATATCACACTGGGCTCCCTAAAGTCTAAAGCTACTCCTGGAGAAACCCCATATTGCAAACACCTCCATCTGTCCCTCATCTTTCAGTCTCTATCTGGCTCAACACATCCTCTGTTTTCCCTCTGGCTTCTCCTGCTCCACCTCCTTCCTTGCCTGTGCTGTGTGGTCTGAGCCCCTTGGGTGGTTCCTTTATACCCTGACACCACTTAACTATAGTACCTGTGGGACCTCCACAGTCCTGCCCTTGGCAGGGTTTCCTGAAAGAATTTGGTATATATCCAGGACATCCTGGGACTCTATTTTTGTTCCTCATCTCTGCTTTTGAACAAATGAAACTCACAGTTCATGCTGTCCTCTGCAATCCTGTTGAATCCCACCAGGCCACAGAAGTTTCAGAACTGAAAGAGGGAGAATGTGGTCACACTGTTGATTTCTATAAATCCAGACCAAGCAGGTTCCTACAGCCAAGAAATATGATTGTCCCCAGTACATGAGATTTGCAGAGTCCTGAGCATGTGTGAGGGGAAATCAGATGCATCCTGCTCATGGCTTCCCATGGAAAATTGGGTCCAGGTCTGTACTGGCAGAATGTGCCACATAGGTCCCACCTCCCTTCCTTTTATGGCTTGTTACCTGAGATCTTTTCAGAGTTTTCACTTAAAACACCTGTGTCATGCATGTCCCTTCCAGACACTGCTCATAGCAGCTCCCACCAACTGAGCAGACAGCGTTCTCAACATAGCCCTCAGTCCTCCAGGCAGCCCTGAGGCTGGCCTCACAACAATGCCCATTTTATAACCCAAGAAAAGCATGTACCAAGTGGTTTAGCCCTGGTGTATCAACCTCTCCTTGGGGCCCACAGATTCTTTCTGCCTCCACCCCTCTGGGACACATGCCTATCCTCTAGTTCCCAGGAAGTCTGGTCCAGGTGGACAGTTGTATCAGGTGGCCAACTCTACCCTAGCACTCATCCTTGCTTGAATCTTTTGCAGGGTCTGTCCAGCTCACCGTTTCCCATCTGGGGCATCCTCCCCTTTAACCCAAAGGAGGCAGCAGCCACATTGAGACCCCTCTGCTCAGGCAAATTGACCAGAGATGGACCTTGACCTCAGTGGGCGTTTTCTGGGACCAGCAAGACAGAACCTACTCTACTGGTGTTGTCCAGTGGGAGTTGGAGGTCCCTGGCAGCTGTTGTACTAAGCAAAGAGGAGAAGTACCCTCTCCACATCTTCTAGACTATTCTTAACCCCAGGTTTGTTGTTCTGACTTGCTAAGTTGCATCCCAAATCGGCCAGCCTCCAAGGAAATGTAGAAAGGATAGCCAATTCAATTTGAGTTTTAGATAACCAATGCATAATATTTTTGTGGAAGTATAACCCAAGCATTTACCTATTTATTTACTTGTTGCACATTGTTTATTGAACGGGGAGTACCTTGTGCCATGGCATGCCTGCAGAGGTCAGAGAACAGTTTGTTAAGTCAGTTCTCTCTTTCCTTGGGTAAGCTCAGGGACCAACCTCAGACTGCCAAGTTTGGCAGCAAGACCCTTACCTGGAGAGCCACTCCAGGCCATCAACTACTTATTTTGAAGTTCAGAGAGTTGAATAGAGCCGGTTATTTGTCTGTCTGTCTGTCTATCTGTCTTTCAATCTGTCTTTCATTGTCTTTCAGTCTGTCTTTCAGTCTATCTCTCTGTCTGTCTGTCTATCTATCTACCAACTTAACTACCTATATCTTTCTGTTTGTTTTTAAACAGGATCTCACAGATTGAGATTAAACAGATTGGCCATGAACTTCTTCATGGTGGAAACCTTCCTGCCTCAGCCTCCTGAGGGCTGACATAATGGGCATGAGCCTCCATGCCAGGCTAAACCCACTTTTTACTTTATATTTTGAGACAAGAATTCCACGAAGTTGTCCAAGTTGACCTTGAAGTGACTCTGTAGCCAGATTGGTCTGGATTTGTGATCCTCCTGTGCCAACCTCCTGGGATTACAGGACTGCACCACACATCAGGCTCCAAACATTTCATTTTAAAGTATAACTATAGCTGAGTGTGGTGTTGCCTGCCTGTAATCTCCAGCAGTTGTGAGGCTGAGATGGAACAATCCAGGCTGAAGGCTAGCCTGGGTTACATAGTGAGATCCTGTAGACATAGCACAAAATTAAAATATGCTTCTGTTGTCATTACTGAAGTGTGTGTATGCATGCATGTTTTTGAGCATGTGTGGGAGCACCTGCATGCTACATATGCATGTCACTATGCAGAGGTCAGAGCAGGACACAGAGTTTCTTCTTTTATCTCTGTCTACCTTAGTGCCTGGTGACATGTCTCTCACTGGCCTTCCAGTTTTTCCCCTGGGCTGGCTGCCTGGCCAAAGGGCTCTTGCTATCTGTCTGTCTCTTTGACTACCATGTCCCATGCTGAGGGTGTAGACACTCATAGCCATTCAGGAATTTTTTTAACCTGAGTACTGGGTGTCCCAACTCAGGTCCTCGGGATTGTGGAGGAAGTGCTCTTACTCATGGGGCCTTCTTACCAGCTCCCCAACCTTGTTCTTTGAGGCAGGGTCACTGAACCTGATGCTTTGTATTTGGGCTAGAATTATGTGGGTGCCGGGAATCCAAACTAGGGCCTTATACTACCCAACAAGCATGTTTACTCACTGAACTATCTCCTCAGTACCCCAATATTCAGATTTTAAAGAATAAGGATATGCTAAACACTGTACATGCCAAGATACCTTTCAAGAGTGTTCATTGTTTGTCTGCAATTTGATTAACCTGGGGGGCTGTGCTTGTATTTGCCAAACTTGGCAATAGTAACCCAAAATCCCAAAATCCTTAGGGTGCTGTAGGAGAAAGTCAGAGCTTTGGAAGTGGACACTGATGAGGACAGTCAAAATCTTGCCTGTCCGAAGAGACTGGTTGGCCTTCTGGAGCAGAGCAAAGGTCCAAAGAAGGAGTCTGCATGCCTGGAGTCTGCAAAGCTCTCAGCTCACATGAGCAGTTTCTGTCACTACCAAGAAGCCCTAAGGCCACCAGACTTAACTGGAAGAGACACCTTCCAGCTTCTATGATCACTTCTGATCCTGAAGTCCCTCCCCGTGTGCCTCACTGATGAGGGGTTGCAGCCCTTCCCAAGCCTGGGCATTCCAACCCTGAGTGGGTTAGCTCAGACCAAAGTGAAGAGCAAGAGATATGGGTGAGGAACATCAGTGAATCTGCTAAGTAGATAAGCCACAGGAGGTGGGCACAGCCAGGGCATACTAAGACAGCCCAGGAGCCTTAACCCTCCTCACCCCTGATGATATCCTGGATTTCCACCCTGCTCTTAACCTCTGATTGCCTTGTGTCTCTGAAGAATGGGAGACAAAATGGAAGGCATTAAGAGAGACCTCAAAGCTAATTCCTTACCTCCAGAGTTGACCAAGTAGCTGTGTGGAGGCCTGCGGATTGTGGAGACAATGAAAAAGTTAGAACAAGAGTGGAAAGGACGGCCAGTCAATGCCGGACAGTGCCTGAGTGTATTTCACAGGCAGCTTATATACAAACTTGATGGGTGGAAGTAGAACAATGCATAGCACAGGCATTCAACCATGTCGACCCTGTCCTTCGGTCAAGGAGCAGGCCATTTCATTTTCTATCTTGATATACCTCCCAGGTGGATGTCAGCAACCTGAGGCCAGCAGCAGCCTGTTTCTAACTAGATAGTGTATTCCTTCCCATGGGCTAATCAGGACTTTCTCACAGCCCTGGAGCAAGCACGCCTGAACACTATTGACTCAGAATAGACTTCAGAATCAAACTGGGAAACTGAGTCACTGTGGGCTCCCACAATTCCTATTTTTTTAATATTTGAGTTGAAGCAGTAGTAGTCTAGATTGTATATCCTTTTTTTTTATTGAGTACATAGGCTGATTTTCCATTACATGAGCTACTAGTAAAAATCAAAGCAGCCCCTTGTGTTTGGGGCATAAATCTTCAGAATTGAAACTTCATCTTGGTGG